AATGTTGTGATAAACATGGCAACAAAGAAGAAGACAATAGTCCAAATAATGTAACAAGTGTACATAATACCTCATCTCAGAAATATAGAGAGATTAGATTAGCAGTAAAAAAAATAGAAGAATTTGTATGTGCAATTCAAGGTCACTGTTGTATAAGACCAATGTGAAACAAATTTAGAAGAGGCTGCAGGATATTCACAGATTGACATTAGTTTATTTAAATAAATGTAATATTCACAAGAAATGTCTTATGGAAGAGTAATATGCAAGACAATAGCACAAGAGAAAAACAGAAAAAAAAATACAATCAAGCATTATGCAAAATTCCTTCCTTTTTACAGTAATGCAAATTATTTTAAAAAATGCAAATATTTAAATGGTGAATATATTTTCATAAAGTTCCTGTTAAAGAAGAAATTTTAGCTCAAAGCACAAACTCAAGATTATTAATGCACATAATTCATACAATATCTTTTGAAATCTTTAACCTCTTCCTTGGTGTAGATGTGTATATATGTTTTTACCAAAAATGTCTTTTTAAGACCTGGACGAATAATCACGTCCAAAAGATAACATTCAGAAACCAGCCAGAGAAATATTTATATGTCAATCTTGATTCTTTTTATGCCATCTTGAGCTTGAAATGAATCCAATTGTCATCCCATACGTCTGGTACAGGTGTTAGCCACCGCTCAGGTACTTCAAGGTACCTCAGTCTCTTAGTTACTATATTAAAAACAAATAAAAAAATTTGTCTGAAAATGAAATTTTTTCCCCAAAATAATTGATGGGGTTAACTAGTCTATGCATGCGTGTGTGAAGTGAATACACAAAATAGGTTGCAGAGACTGTTTAGTCAGTCAGTTACATGCCATCCGTGATACACATTTAGGCAATCATGTATCTTTCGATACTTACTGATGAGGCAGATTTTTTTTTTCCTCACAGTAGGTTGCCATTTCTTTCTGCAGTAGACCAGTTACCATCCAAGGCTATAGAACCCAGTCTGTCCTACTACTTACCAATAGCTGGGGAGGGGTAGAAGAGGAGGACTCATACCTTTCCCAAGGGTATTAACATGTAAGGGAATGTAATGGATTCGACTGGAATTCAAACCCAGCTCTCTGATTTCTCAATCCGAGCCACTATCCAGTACTTCACCATGCCTCCTCCTGTTTAGCAGCATACCAAAATGTTAAAGTTTGTCTAGTTCTGTATTTCTGAATCATTACTATGGACAACTTCTCCCCATGCACTTTTTTTTGTTTTAAATCACATTTTTTAAATTTTCACTTTCTAAAATTAGAGTGTCGACATATATAAAAAGAAAGTGTCAGTTATAAATGACTTTAGGAGGATATATAATTGCAGGTTTTAATCTCACAAGAGTCTTTGAGCAACCCTAAATACATATTTCTAGTTTTCCTTGTATCAACAGTTCTGTCTTCCACAAGGAAAGTTGGTTCTCTGTGTCATGCCAGAAAGTCCATCATTCAAATCTATAAATCAACCATTTATCCTTGCATGGAATACTGCTGCCATATATGGTCTGGAGGTCCTCAACAGAATCCAGAGACAGATATGCAATGTAATGTTTCCTATTCTGGCATCTTGTCTACAGTCACATTCTCACAGATGTGCTGTTGCTTCCCTCTGTCTTTTCTACCAGTATTTTCACGGCAACTGCTCAAATGAGCTACTTTCACTGGTTCCCAAACTGCATGAGGTACTAGGTTGGCATCTCAGTTCCACTTTTGAAATGGTCAAATGTTGCCGTCGCTTCTACTCTAATAGCTTCTTATCTCGCGTTTCTAGTCTGGGAAACTCCCTTCCTCTTACTTGCTTGCCTGATGGCTATAGTCTTCAAATATTCAAATGTAATGTCAATTGACATCTTCTGATGCCTTGATCCTGATCCCCGTCCTTCTCTATATCCTTTCCTCAAAACCCCCTTTTTACTCTTGTTCTCACTCTCTGTAACCCCTTGCGTGCTAGTGGCAGTCCTGTTTTGCATGGGGTGGAATGCTTAAAAAAAAGTTTCCTCTCCTTGTTCAATTTAATCTGATTATTAAAGTAGCCATTCTTCTACATTATTCTGCCTCTGTCCCATAATGATTGTTCCATTTAGTCTATGAAATTTGTACGTAAATGGAACAATCATTATGGGACAGAGATGGAAACTCCCTTCTTCTTATTTGCTTCCTTGATAGCTATAGTCTTCAAATATTCAAATGTAATGTCAATCGACATCTTCTGATGCCTTGATCCTGATCCCCGTCCTTCTCTTTATCCTTTCCTCAAACACCCCACCCTCTTTACTCTTGCTCTCATTCTTTGTAACCCCATGTGTGCTAGTGGCAGTACCACCTTGCTTGGGGTGAAATGCTTTAAAAAAAAAAAAAAAATAAATAAATAAATAAAAAATAAAGGATATAGCATCCGAAACAAAATGGAAAATATTGATACAAAGCAAAAATTTTTATTAATGACACATTTCACCAGAGAAGCATGTGCTCTCTGTGGCTTCCTCAGATTAATGAAGAAAAGACAAAACTGTGTAAGGAAAATACCTTGGGATCTCTGAGGATAAGTGGCTACCATAAATTAATTACCCTAGCTTGTCCTGTAACGTCTAGACCTAGAGAGTGTCCATCGATCTGTCCACCTGTGTATTTGTTTGTTTTATCTATATTAGAGCCATTTGGTATTGTTGGATTTTAAATTTAAGAGAATTCAAAACAACTAACCTCTGATGGAGGTCATATGTAGCAGCCCCTAAGTAGCATGCTGAGACTTTAGACATTTATTAGTTGAATTTTGATTAGAAATTGTTGCTGTATGATAAGACTATGTGATTAATATTACTACTGAATTAAGTGAACTGACAAGGATTATATTAAAATATAAATACTGTAATTCCCCATGTATAATACACATTTTTTCTAAAAAAAAAAAAATAATCAACATTAGATGTGTGTATTATGCAGAGCTACAAAAAAATCTTAAAAAAATTGTTATTTCATAGGTCAATTTCAGTTGCAAAATGACTACTCACCACAAACATACAACAATTTGACACTAACATTCAGTGATTGCAACCCCATAAGGATGTCAGATAGAATCACATGTACCTAACTGTTGTAGCATACCAACGGATGATAATGGATAATATGTTCCCCTTTATATAAATACAATAGTAAATACTGTATGTTGGTCTGCAGTTGGAGATTCATTGTGGAATTCATTTGACTCACTTCTAGCAGTTGACTACTTCTACATGCTGCTGGCAAATCTTATATGTGTTGTTCATGTCCTAAGTATTATTGTTCATTACCAACCTTTGTTTGATCATTCTATTCAGTAACTTTCCCTAGGTTACAATACTAACAATACTTACAAATGTAAAATAAAATAAAATAAAAATTATCATAAAACTAAATTAGAATAATATTCTATGTTTAAAACCATTTTTTAAAATAAGTGTAGGAAACGCTGGCCATAATGAAATTGGAGAGGTACAATTTATAGGGTTTGATTACCAAACAAAGGGTGTGTATTGTGCATGAGCACTTTTAACACAATTTTAGTGGGGCATATTATGGATGAAGGCATATTATACATGGGAAATTGCAGTAATTGTTATATAAAATTATGTTTATCATTATTAGATTGCAGACTTATTGATTCTATCTTTGCTGTGTGATTTAAACCCATATCCTTCTGGCATCAGTTTAAACTGACACCTTTTGTTTTCCATATATTTGGACCATTTTGTTTAAAGTTCATCTTTTCTTGATTTCAAATGTAAACTTGCAAACAGGAAGGGACATTTCATCACTGCTGACTCAACACTGGCAAGTCTTCTCCATCACAAATGAACTCTGGGACAATTTACCACCAGCCTACTCAATGCTGGCATCGAATTTATAGCTTCAGACTGGTGTTGACTGTTCTAGTGTGCACATCTCTTAGATCAGCTTTGAGTCATAAAGTTTGGCTGTTTATTTTAGTGATTTATTAGTTACGAATTGTCTATTTGGTTGACTAGTGTTTAATTTTCAAGATCAGACAAATAACCAGACTGAAGCAGTAAATAGAAGATTGCACACAGAGCTGGGGATGGAGCACCTCACAATATGGAGATTCATTATGGGGCTGCAAATGGTGCAAAGAAACAGAGATGCATTTTTGAGCAATTTGAAGAATTATATGAACGCAGATGAAAGAATTTTGCTGATTGTTTCTTCTTTTTCACAATCTTATTTCACTAAATATTTGAGGGGAATCGCATACAATTTTCAATAAATTTCTAAATTAAAAATAAAGTCATGTATTAAAAAATGATCCCTAATAAATTACTTTTATTTGGGTTTAAAAATTTATGTCATAAAAATGATTCTTAATAAATTACTTTTATTTGGGTTTAAAAAATTATGTTATAAAAATGATTCTTAATAAATTACTTTTGTTTTTAAAAAGTCACTGAAAAAATTTTGTAGTTTGCATGTCGTTGAGTTGCCCTTGTGCTGAGTAGGCTAAGTGGAGTTGTCCTGCATTCGATCATGACTCTCCACTAATTCCTTCTCTTTATCATCTTTCTTGGGAAAGATATTGAAAGTTTTTTTTGCCTTCTTCATGGTTTTGAATACTGAGTAGTCCTCCTTTTTTTCAGAATTTAGACGATCATGGCACTCCACAGTTTCCTTTATCTTTATTATCTGTGAATTGTCATGCATTCTTTGAAAAAGTGGAGTAGTTCCTATTGCCTTTTTCATGGTTCTGAATACAGAGTTTTCCTTCTATTAAATTGGTTGCCACCAAAAGTCAAAAGTGCCCAGTCTATACTGCTATTTTACCCTTGGGAGGGGGAAGATGAGATTCATACCTTTCCCCTTTGTGAAAGTGAATGCGGCAGGCTAGCTTGGGATTTGAACTCTTCTTGTTGTTTCCATTTTCCATGCTATCCATTACACAAACCACACATGTTACATTATACGTACCATATAAGAAACATAATCAGACTTATTTTTCGGATGTTGGGCTCTGAGAAAATGTCCATGAATCCATATTGTCGTGTCATCCGTGTTGGATCGTCTGCTGACATTTCTTCTTTGATCCTCTCAAAGAGTTCCTTTGGAAATTCAAGTTTATTGACGAAGCTGAATCGCTTGCCAACAAGTTCGGCTTCATTAAAACGGCCACGGAGGAGAAGCCAACGCAAAGATTCAGGCACAACGCTGGCAGAAAAAGAAAAAAAGAAAATTATTAGAAGATATCAACAGATGGTATAAATTTCTTTTTTTGTGGCGGGGGGTAAGAATGCAGAATAAGGGACCCCTGGCTTCACCTAAAAAAGGTATTTTTTTTAAAAGAAAAGGACATATAGAGAAAAGGACTCGACCATAGTTGGGATCATTGAATCAATGCGAGCAATCCTTTTCTTAGCTGCATATGAGTTTCGCCAGGGCTACATACAGATTTGAATTCAGAGTTTTCCTTCTAGACTGGCTCCCACCCAAGGCTATAGAACCCAGTCTGTCCTACTATTTACCCATAGGTGGGGGGAGAAGAGTTAGATTTATACCTTTCCCAAGAGTATTAGCACATAATGAACTTGATTGGAATTTGAACTCAGCTCTCGAATTCCTCAATCCGGGCCACAATCCATTACTCCCCTGTGCCTCTCACACTTACAAAATTCCTCATCAATAGTTATATATTTGTGAATATTTATTCCGAAAATAATTTGAAGATAAATTTTCTGCCATAATTAAAATAATCAATGAAATGTATTGATTTTAAAATAAAAATAAGGAAATAATGCCATCTCCCTTCAAGATGTAAACAATTATGGCTCTCCACAGATTTTTTTTTTTATTACGTCTGCACCATTTATTACGTCTGCACCATTTATTACGTCTGCATTATTATGACTTCTTGGGAAAGATAGTGAAGTGGTTTCCTATCCCTTTCTCTGTAGTTTTGAGTTTCTGTTCTCTTAGAATGGCTGCCACCCAAGGCTAGAGAGTCCCGTCTGTTTGGTTTGGTTTATTTTGTTTAACGGCATATCAACCTCAATGGGTTATTTAATGCCGACAACATTTTTAGGATAGATTCGTATGAATAGAATATGTATTCCTTGGTTTAGATTGGTTTGGTTTATTTTGTTTTACAGCATGTTATTTTGTTTTACAAATGGGTTATTTAATGCTGACAAAATTTTTTATTGCTGGTAATATTTTTCCTTCAAAATTGTATTGCTGGTAATAATTTTTTCAAAAAAGTATTGCTGGTAATAGTTAACTATTTGCCCATAGTTGGGACCCTAACAGGTGCTACCACCCCGGGGCAGGGTGGACCTGGGGACACCAGCAATTAAGAGGTGGTTCCACGCTCCTCAAAACCTCCTGATCAGAGGCCTTGCTGTTGGACATAGTTTAACATCTTACCCAGGACACAGATGTAGTTTAATGTCTAACCCAGGAGAGAGTCCAGTCTGACTTGCTATTTAACCCATGCTGGTGGGGGATGGAGAAGGAACACATCTATGCCTTTCTCAAAAGCATTAGTGTGAAAGTGAATGCAACAGACTTGGCCAGAGCTTGAACTCAGCTTGCTAATTTCATTTTCCACATCAATAACCATTATTTGTTATTGATTATGATGCTGTAAAATGTAATCATCTGCACTGGGAAAACATTCAGAAGAGGCTGGATGATTGAAAGATACTGTATCTAAATATGCTTAAAAAGAAAACAAGAGTTGTTTAGGAGGTCCCTCATTTGCAAAAAAATGAAAATACTTTTGATACACTTGAATAAAAATAATTAATAAAGAAAAAAAATAATCAATGTATATATACTCAAGTATAGTACAGGTTTTTATTATCAGTTTTATAATGTAAAAAATGGGGTGGGGAGGGTGCATTGTACAGAGGTAATTATTTTTGAAAAGGTTAAAAATCATGTATTTTCAGTGACCAGTTGCATTATATGCAGGTAAACGTTTTTTGAGAGGGGTTAAAATTCAAGGGTCGCACTATACATAAAGTCGGCTTATACATGAGTGTAGATATGGCAAACAGAATTAAGAGATAAATTAAAATATCAAGCATAGGAAAATGTGGAAATCTTAACTTTTAACCAGATACAAGAACAAAAGGAAAAAGGCAAAAAGAAAAGGAAAAGAAAACAAGAGAGAGGAAAAGAGAGAGAGAGAGGAAAAGAAAAAAGAAAAGGATGAGAAAAAAGAGATAAAAAGAAAAAAGAAACGTATAAGAAAAAAGAAAGGAAAAAGACAAAAAGAAAAGGATTAAAAAAGAGAAAGAATGAGAAAAGCAGGGAGGAAAAGAAAAACAAAAGAATTGAGGTAAAGAAAAAAGGCAAAAAGATAAGGAAAAAGAGAGAAGGAAAAAAGAAAAGGCTGAACAAAAAGAGAGGAAAAGAACGAGAGAGGAAAAGAAAAAAGGATAAGAAAAAAGAGATAAAAAGTAAAAAGAAACATAAGAAAAACGATAAAGGAAAAGACAAAAAGAAAGGAAAAGGATAAAAAGAGAGAGGATGAGAAAAAGAGGGAGGAAAAGAAAAACAAAAGAATAGAGGAAAAGAAAAAGGCAAAAAGATAAGTAAAAAGAGAGAAGGGAAAAAGAAAAATGTGAGCAAAAAGAGAGAGAGAGTAAGGAAAAAGACAAAAAGAAAAAAGGATAAGGTAAAAGAAAGGAAAAAGATAAAAAGAAAAGGACGAGAAAAAAGACAGAAAAAAGACAGAAAAAAGAAAAGGGTAAGAAAAAAAAAGAGATAAAAAAAAGAAAAGGATGGGAAAAAGAGAGAGAAAAAGAAAAAAAAAGGATGAGAAAAAGAGGGAGGAAAAGCAAAAATACAGAAAAAAAAAATGAAATTAGGTGTTTAAGTTTTAATATTTCAGCCTCTTGAATTTCTGGGAAATGTCAGTAAGTGATTGACATTCATACCCAACGTTGACATAAAGGACTCTCTTGTTCACCCCAACGTTAAAAATAAATAAATACCAAAATAAAAAATATGTGATGAGGCTCTTATTTAGAAAGAAAAAGAAAAAAACAAACTGGTATTTTCTAGTTATAACATTGTATAAATGTTAAAGTAGTGAATTTAAAACTCTGTTAATAAAAGAGATATACCGAAACACATCCAGAGTTGCGTAGTCCAATGGCTTTTGATACAAAAAAAAAAAAGAAAAAAGAAATCATCGAACCAGGTTCAATTTCAGTCATTTCTATTATGCTCTCTTTGATTTAATGTCCTTAGAAAAGGCAGGAATCTATCTTCCTCCAACTATGGGTTAAATAGTAAAACAGGCTAGACTCTCTTTCCTGTGTGTCAGAAGAGATATAAGAGAAGAAAAATTCCAAAATCAAACCTGGGAAAGGCTGCTTGGTGACTGTGAGACAGACTGTACACCATCTGCATACAGTTCTTCCAAAAAGTGTGGCTGGTTCTACACAAGACTTCATGACTAGAATCAAATCATGGTGTGGGTTGTTTTGTTATTCAGTCAAGAACTGAATTGTTGAGCCCTCATACTTTAAAATCAATGGGAGAGTTCCCTACACAAGTACATATTTATATGTATGCTTGCATTTATAATACCAGCATATATATAAGTATACAGATGTAAAAAATGAATGCTATATAAATGAAGATTTTATTATTATATAGCCAATGATTTTTGGAAAGTAAAACAAAGTGAAAAGCCATTGCTTCATCAGCATTTTAAAATTTTGCTGTATATTTTTTTAATATATATGAATATATAATATAACATTAATATATTATAACATATTAAAAATATACATTTTGCCTTATATTTTTTAAATTTCTGAATCATAAATAGACAAATTTTTGCACTCAACACACATTGTTTACACTTTTACATTGTTCGGACTTTTGTTCTCATCTTTATTGTCAAATTCACAATGTTTCGGCTGTTGTACACTCTGGTCTTCTTCAGATGATATATGTTGAAATTTTGAACCGAACCCTTTATTTAATCCATGGAAGTAAATTGTTCTAGTTCCACATGCCATGCCTTTTTTTTGTGGATATCTCAGTTTCAGTTAATTCCCTTTAGTAACTTTCCAAGTTTTAGTTCGCCATGTGTCCTTAGGGATGTTTATCACCTGAAGAAGGCCAGAGCGTACAACGGCCAAAATGTTATGAATATGACAATAAAGATAAGTACCGAACTAATAAGTTACAAGCTCATATCCATACAACTGTATATGTTAACTCTATCACAGATATTAAGCATTTTTGACTAAGTACTGCACACATAACATCATCACTTGATAAGACACTGAGGGTGTTGAAACAAAATGGCTATTTTTGTAGTGATTTTATAACATATTTATGTTATAAATTTTATTTTTTTTTTTTTTTAAATAAATAATATATATATATATATATATATATATATATATATATATATATATATATATATCAAATAAATATAATGGCTGGTTTCTCTTGTTTTCCAAGCACACTTGTTTGCTTCTGTGGCTAGCCAATGCTTGCTCGGGCACATTTGTGTTTGTTTAACACCCACAGAGCCCATCCATGGGTTTCACGTTTTTGTGAGCATCAGATTAATCAGTTTGTCTGATGATTACAAAAGCAGGGATATGACAATAAAGATAAGTACCGAACAATGTTAATAGTTACAATACCTGATCTCAGAAATATAGACAGATCCTGAAGAAGGCCAGAGTGTAACACAGCTGAAATGCTGTGAATATGACAGTAAAGATGAGGATAACAGTCTGAACAATGTAAATAGTGTAAACAGTTGCAATATCTTATCTCAGAAATATAGACAGATACACATTGTTGTTGTTATTTACTCAGCTTCTGACTACAGGAGGTACCTAGTAAGAATCAAACATTACTCAGTAGTAACAATCAACCAGATGAGCTCGTAAACCATTACCTGAGGTTGAGGGATCCCATTAGACATACATTTTTGAAAGACTTGTAAAGATTCCTGATTAACAATTGGATCCTTTGTGGATAGAGAAAATAGTGTAGGAGAAGGTATGAAAGAGAGGGTTTAAGAGAGGGAGTGAGAATGCAAGAGTGAGAGAGAAGGTTGAAAGAGTGAGGTTAAATGAGAGGAGGGAAAGAGATGGTAAGAGAGAAAAAGAAAAGTGAGTGGAATGACACTCACAATAAGCGAGAGAGAAAGAGAAGTGTGAGGAAATAAAAAGAGTGAGAAAGAGAAATGGAGGAGAAGGATAAAGAGAATGCTTTTCACTATAAGAGGGGGAAGAAAAGTGAGAGGATAAAAAATGAGAATGAGAGGAAGTAAAAAGGATGATGTCAAAGTAAGAGAGAGAGAGAGAGAGAAATGGATGAGAGAGATAAAGAGAATACCACTCATAATAAGAATGAGTGAGAAGGAGGAGAAATGTGAAAGAGTAGTGAGAGGGTGAGAAAAGGATGAGGGACAGAGAAAAGTGAGAGAGATAAAAAGAATATCATTCATAATCAGAGAGAGTGAAAGAGAAAACAGAAAGAAGTCAAAATGCATGCAAGAGAGGAGGAAGAGAGAACGCGAGAGAGAGAGAGGAGGAAGAGAACGAGCGAGAGAGAGGAGGAAGAGGAACGCGAGAGAGAGAGGGAGGAAGAGGAACGCTAGAGAGAGAGAGGGAGGAAGAGGAACGGAGAGAGAGAGAGGAGGAGGAAGAGTGAACGCCGAGAGAGAGAGGAGGGGAAGAGAACGCGAGAGAGAGAGGAGGAAGAGGAATGAGAGAGAGGGAGGAGGAAGAGGAACGAGAGAGAGAGGAGGAGGAAGAGTGAATTTTAGAGAGAGAGGGAGGAAGAGGAACGTAGAGAGAGAGAGAGAGAGGAAGAAGTGAACGAGAGAGAGAGGAGGAAGAGAACCAGAGAGAGAGGAGGAAGAGGAATGCTAGAGAGAGAGGAGGAAGAGGAACTGAGAGAGAGAGGAAGAAGAGGAATGCGAGAGAGAGAGGAGGAAGAGGAACGCAGAGAGAGGAGGAAGAGGAACGCAGAGAGAGAGAGGAAAGAGGAACGCGTAGAGGGAGAAGGAAGAGTGAACGAAAAGAGAGAGAGAGTGAACGAGAGTGAAATAGAGAGAGAGTGAATGAGAGAGAGAGAGAGTGAAGAGAGAGAGAGAGAGGAACGCCAGAGAGAGAGGAAGAGGAACGAGAGAGAGAGAGGAGGAAGAGTTAACGCCAGAGAGAGAGAGGAGGAAGAGGAACGCCAGAGAGAGAGAGGAGAAGAGGAATGCCAGAGAGAGAGAGAGGAGGAAGAGTGAACGCCAGAGAGAGAGAGGAGGAAGAGTGAACGCCAGAGAGAGAGAGGAGGAAGAGTGAACGCCAGAGAGAGAGAGGAGGAAGAGTGAACGCCAGAGAGAGAGAGGAGGAAGAGGAACGCCAGAGAGAGAGGAGGAAGAGTGAACGCCAGAGAGAGGAGGGAAGAGGAACGCCAGAGAGAGAGAGAGGAAGAGGAATGCCAGAGAGAGAGAGGAGGAAGAGTGAACGCTAGAGAGAGAGAGAGGGAAGAGGAACTTAGAGAGAGAGAGAGGAGAGTGAACGCCAGAGAGAGAGAGAGAAAGAGGAACGCCAGAGAGAGAGAGGAGGAAGAGTGAACGCGAGAGAGAGAGAGGAGGAAGAGTGAACGCGAGAGAGAGAGAGGAGGAAGAGTGAACGCGAGAGAGAGAGAGAGAGAGAGAGAAGGAACGGTGAACATAAGAGAGAACGAATACCACTCACAAGATGTAAGGAATCGCCAAGAGACTGGGAAGACTAATGGCCAATTGAAGATGTCGCCAATTTCGTAGAAGGTAAGCGAGGCCTGCAAGTGCCATAACGACGACCCCAATCATTAATTCAATAAATGTTCCTGCACGGGCTCTCTTCTTGGTCAGAAACAGCTCCATTGTCATCACAAAAGTCGTTGTTTGCAGACCCTAGAATAAAGATAAGAAAAAAATGGTCGAAATTAAATTCATATTCACTAAAAAAAAACAAAAAAACAATATTAAAATTTTCCTACTTTATATCCTAATGATCTTTCTGTTGGCTTAGGCAGAGATTTTTTTGTTTTTAAATCATTTCACCACAAGCAAGGTAATAATGCCACTAAGACACCAGGGGTTACTGTGAGTAAGAGAAAATGAGAAAATTTTAGTGTTGTAACCTAGAGAAGGTTACTGAATAGAATAATCAAATGAAGGTTGGTAATGAATGATAAAACTCAAAACAAGAACAACACATATAAGATTCGCCAGCAGTGCATAGAAGTAGTCAACTGCTAGAAGTAAGTCAAGTGAATTCCACAATGAATCTCCAACTCTAGACCATGTACAGTATTCACTACCCTATTTATGGGAATGGGAACATACCCATTATCGTCTGTAGGTATGCTACAGCATTTAGTGAGATGAAACAATGAAAGAACGGGATTTAGAAAGACAGAAGGTGGTGATTGATGTTACATTTAAATTTTGGAACTCGGCTCTCCGATTAACAATTTCAAGCCATTATACATTACATCACCCTACATCCAAGCTTAGAGCATTGGATATTCCCAAGTAGTCACTCATCTTGGTACTGACCAGGCTCAATGTTGCTTAACTTTGAGATTGAACGGGATCCAGTGTTTTGACAAGATATGGCTGTAAGCTGTTGTGCAGATTTAATAAAAATGAAATCTTAGTTGTCAATTCGGAATAACATAGACAGAACATGTTTGCAATGAGAAAGTTATACTTCCTCTTCTATGCGCCATATCCATTCAGAATATGGAAGATCATTCTCTCCACAACTTTCTCTCTTTTGCAGCCCTCAAACCCTTGTGTAAATTAATTGAAACAACCAATTTAGTTTCCTTTCTTTCACCATATGGTCAGTTTTAAACCCACTGGAGTGACAGGGTGTAATCGATTTCTATTTTTTTCTACAGATTAAGCAATTTGCAATGGTTTGAGTAATATGAATCTATTTTCAGGGTGCATGATGAAATTTGATTGGCTTTGAACAATATTGCATCATTCATGGTTGCATCAGATTTTAATTACACCCAGACACTACTGTCTCGACTGTTGATTAGTTGTCCTACGGCCATTGTCTGCGTACGAGAATTGTAATGCTGCATGAACACACTGGCAAGCCTTACCAGTGAGCAAATCAAAGTACTATAGACTGGTCTGGAGACTCTCCTGATTTAAATCCAATCAAGAATCTGTGGTCAATCTGCAAAGAACGGCTTCATGGAATGAACATACAAAGTACTAACATGCACTGGGTCATGTTTTTCATTAGAAAAATATGAACAAAAAGTAAATAATAACAGAATTATTTGTTTTGTTTCAATTAATTTGCACAAGGGTGTAGGTAGGTTTGTCTTTTACCATCTCTTCCACCATTCATTCACACCAGCTCATCAGGTAGGTAACCTGCTGCCTTCTTCTGTCTGTTTTGGCCTTTGATATATCCTGTGAGTGTTAAATTCTCCCAGCCCTCATCATGTGTCCAAGAAAATTTAGCTGTCTTGTTTGGATTTTCCTTAAAACTTCTTTATTGCTTACGTTCTTCATTTATGGTATTCTTGTATTTACAAATCAGAAAGTTAGCTGAAATTTTGGGAACACATAACGAGAAAAATAGGCCATAGGACAAAATTGAAGGCAAAGGAAGCAAGGAAAACAATGAGTAAACTACTGAACAAGTCAGTTTGAACGGGTGGTAGAACAAGGATAAAAAATAGTAAAGGGACAAGTTAGAGTGATAAAAGACAGGAAGTTGTGGAGGGCCATGATCATTACCATCTTGAAAGAACATAGCACAAAAAAGAATTGTAGCCAACTATGATCTACCATTATTCATCTTCTATGTGCTATAAGCCTTTGGGACGTTATCCTCTACAACTTACTGTCACTTGTTGCTCTCCGTCCTATACGAATATCAGTGAAAATATCTGGATAGTTATTTTCTAAGTCAAGCTTAGTATGGGACACTTAGTGAGGATCAAACTCACTACTCTGTGGTAATGACCAGTGAAACAATTTTGGTATTACATCTTGAAGAGGTGTCCTTATTTATTAGACATAGCTTAGTTTTAGCACAAAGATGCAAGTAGGAGCTATTTTTTATGGGTACTATTTTAATGGTAATATTAGCCATTTCCTTATAAGGAAAAATTATTGACTGTGCAGCCAGTGCTACTTTTGGTTGAAATCTTTGTACTTGAACAATTTTTCAGGCATGGAAGTTTCTCAAGTTTACTGCTATTGCTCTTTTCAGTATTGTTAGGGGGATTTCCTTCCTAACTTTTTGTTTGAAGTAGTGTGGAATGTCAACATCTTGATTATGTCTTTATTTTCTTTTTGAATTTAATGTGATATCCATTTTAGTTTTTGTTGAAAATTCTCAAGTGAAATGGTTTCACTTGGTTGGTAGAATTCTTTCTGATACTTCAGCACCTGTCCATAAGGTCCGAAGAAGGATGGCCCCCGTGAAAACCTATAGGCTTCATTTGCTCAATTTTTAACTATAAATCTGATAAAGGGGTTGTATACAGCTCGCAGAATAAATATGAATGAGTCTTGATGTTAGGAATCTATTTAAGAACATTACTTGTAGTTATCTAACCTATTTAACTAATTATCTGTTTTATAATGAACAAGAAAATGCACAAGTTCAGAGATTAAAAATTAATCTCAAGATTCTTGACAAAATAGCTGATGGTCAAATTGCATTGAAAACACCAGTTCTTGTTTGTTCACTTAAGGTAAGCAGTGTCAAGTACTTAGATAGGAGACCACTTGAGAGCACCAGATACCGTAAGCAACCAAATCTGAAACATGTTTCAGCTTTCAATAGCCCACAAAGGGTAGATAAGCCATAAAAAACAAATAAATCTCAACAAAATAAAATATATTTTTAATTGTATTAAAGCTTAAATAAAGAAGTAAAGGACACTAAACTTTTGACATTTATTAATTTTTCATAAATAATCAATCCAGTAAATCACCCAGTTTCAACTGAAATCACCCAATCACAAATCAGTAAATCAACCTGGTCCAAATCAAAAAATCGCCCAGTCTCAAATTAATGAATCACCTGATCCCACACTGGTAAATCACCCGTGATCTCAAACTAGTGACTCACTTGATACTAAACTAGTAAACCACCTGGTTCCAAACCAATGAATCACCCAGTCTCCAACCAATGAACCACTTGATTCCAAACCACTAAATCTCCCAGCCCAAAAGCAATGGATCACCTGGTCTCAAATTAGTGACTCACCTGATCTCATAGCAGTAAATCACCCAGTCACAAACCATTCTATATCTATAATTCTCAAAATGTATGTGTGTGTGTGTGATTGGATGTTGTTTATGCATTTCCACAGTTTTCATCAGGTTTTGATGAAATTTTTTTTGTTTGATAGATAATTCTTCAGTGTTAGTTTTGAGTCCAAATTGGCTGGAAATATTACAATGTTGAAGGTGAAAAATTGAAAAACTGTGCAATAATCAAATGCAAAATTTAATATCTGTAAAAAAACAGCGCACAAACAATTTAGAGAGTTGAAATCTAACACAAAAGATTATTAGAATTATAAAAAAAAAATTATATTATAAATAAAAATTATCATATATTATTATTATGGCGGTCCATGGAAGAGGTTCCTTCCTTGCAAGATTAGGAATGCAAAATCGGCCCTTTTCAGGGCACCCCTCCAAATTCAAATTGTAAATCCCCCCATTTGGGGATGTGCCTCAGTTACACCCAATTGTTGTTACTAATATTGATTTTTGGGTGGGCTGAATTTAAACTTAAACTGCTCCAATTGAACGGCAAAAATTTCCAGTAATGAAACACCCGGTCGAAGGCAGGTTATACTGCTAGTGAGTCACTAAATCCCAAGCTGATGCAGCAAAAATGGAAAAAAATGTAGATTACAATTTGAATATTTGTCTATATTTCTGAGATGAGGTATTATGTACATTATTTGGACTATTATCCTCAACTTTGTCGCCATATTTATTACAATGTTTCCGCCATTGTACGCTCAGGCCTTCTTCAGGTGGTTGGAATGTCAAACGGAACCCTTTATTTCACTCACTGGGGTAGACTGTTCTAGTTCCACCTACCATGTTTAATGGATGTCAGTTATCAGTTATCTCCTGTTAATTTCCTCAAGGACACATGGCACAGTGGATAAAGGCGTTGGTTAGATCCAGTGACAGGACCCAAAGAATGTGAGTTCAATACCTGGTTAAGGCAGTGGAGAACTTTAAGAGGGAAATTAACAGGAGATAACTGATAACTGACATCCATTAAGCCAACAGAAACACGTGGAACTGAAATCCGTCAAGTGGAAGGATTTGTGCAAGTCACAAAATCCAGGTATATCCAAGAAACTAAATGCACACCTTGTTACTCAAATGTAAGAGTCTGTACTGTATACCAACAATTTGACCAGATCAAAATTTGTCTTGTAGGAACAAACTTGAAACATATTTATTTTCATCAGAGAAAAGATGTGCATATTGTTTGACGAGGCATCTACATACATTTCTACAAACTGACTTTCAATATAAATGAATAGAAGCCTTACCTGTATGCAACTTCCTGTAAGGAATCGAAAGACTGCAAAGATTTCATAGTGTTGAATGTAGGCCGCACTAGCCCCCAGGATAATAGGGGTGTAGAGGCAAAGTAGTAAGACTGGTTTGCGGCCAAATTTGTCAGCCAAAAAACCAAACAAGGGTCCACCTACCATCACTCCCAAGAAGTAGATGGTGACAACAAGTGAGCTTAAATAGGAATGGTCACACACAAGATCCCACTGAAAAATATAAAAAGAAAACTTATTTTAATGTTATTTTTTCACCTTTGTATGCTTTCAAAATATCTTTGTTCAAAACAATTGAATTAAATGGAGAAGCAAAGAGATAAATTCTTTTATTCGATTCTAGCAGGTTTGCCTGCTCGCTATCGCTTCACAAAGTAAGATATATTTACTATTTGAAATTTTTGAAACAAAAATTTTAAATGAAAATTTCATTCATAAATTGGCTTGTTATAGTTAAGGAAAGTTTGACAAATAAATGCCAACTTATTGAAGACAAGTAAAATGCAAATTTCAAATACTTCTCTGCACTTTATAAGATGATATTCCTAAACAGAACCACTTTAGTTTCCTTTCCTTCACCATACGGTCAGTTTTAGACGCACTAGAGTGACAGGGTGTAATCGATTTCTGTTTTTTCCCCAGATTAGGTCATTTGCAATGGTTTGCAGTAATATGAATCTATTTTCAGAGTGTATGATAAAATTTGATTGGCCTTGAAAAATATTGCGTCATCCATGATTGCATCAGATTTTTATCACGCCCAGACTATATTGTCTTGATTGTCAATTATTATCTTACGGCCATTGTCTGCAATGGATGTTACTCCAAGGAAGCAAACAAAAATTTTAACACTGCATGAACGCACTGGCAAACCTTACCAGTGAGCAAATCAAAGTACTATAGATTGGCCTGGAAAATCTGATTTAAATCCACTTGAGAATCTGTGGTCAATCTGTAAGGAATGACTTCATGGAATGGACATACGAAGTACTAATATATGCAATGGGTCATGTTTCACTGGAAAAATATGTAAATAATGAATTTGTTTTTTTTTCAATTAGTTTGTACAAGGATGTAAAATCTTGTAAATATAAAATTATCCTTGTTTGCCAATTCTTGAGAAAAAATATAAATCTAGTTTCATACATTTGGGTTTTATTAAAATTCTAAAAATAAATTCTTAAAATAATAAAAAAAATTATGAAGGGTGTATACAGTATGAGTGAAGTCAAGAGAAAAACCTTCCTTTTGATATATTTTTTTTTGCTGGGTACATTTGTTAAACTTTGCCAAAATTGCAATGTATTTCTATAAACAATATATAATTTATAACTTATTTCTACAGTAAGAAAATTCCTACTGAATAAATCAGATTTGAGAGGAATAAAACAAGGATGTGTCTTCTCACCAAACTTATTCAACAGTGAGGCAAACCTGAGAAAATAGATGCCAACTTGCCAGGTATCACCATTATTGCCAGGATTCATTATTGGCAGATACAATCTTAACAACATTAGATATGCAAATGGCACAATGCTAGTAGCAGACATAGGAAGGAAACTACAGAAACTCCTACCAAAGGTAGTATAGGATAGCAAGAAGAAAGGACTATTGTTAAAAGATGAATGTATATTTGTTGGCAAAAAGGAACAACCCAAGATGTGAACTATAAATTGGAGATATCAAAATCAAGCAAGCAAAGAAATTTAAATATCTATGAAGTGTTTTGATAGAGGACAGAAAATATAATATTGAAAGCTGAAGGTGCATTGGGATAGCGAAAGATGCCTTCTGAAACCTAAGCAAAGTATAAAGAAACAGAAAATTTCATTAGAAACAAAGAAAAGTGTACTGAACTGTTATGTAATATCAGTCCTCCTATAAGGCAGTGAATGTTGGCCAATCTCCTCACAGATGAAGAAGAGGCTTGATGCAACAGAAATGTAGTTTTACAGAAGGATGCTGAGAATACTATGGATTGAACCTTAGTGCAACAAACTCCAAACCAGAGATACAAGAATTAAATAAGTACAAAAATTTAAATATCTAGGAAGTGTTTTAACAGAGGCTGGAAAATTTGACATCAAAATCAAAAGGGATGTTGGAATAGGGAAAGATGCCATTCTTAAAGATTTAAGAAAAATATTAAGAAACAGGAAAATGTTATTAGAAACAAAGAGCACTGAACTGTTATATAATATCAGTCCTTCTATATGGCAGTGAATGGTGGGATATCTCTTCACAGATTAAGAAGAGACTTGACACAACAAAAATATGGTTCTACAGAAGGATGCTGAGAATACTATGGACTGAATATGTGAGCAAAGACAAAGCTTTAGAGAAAATGGAAACAAAAAGGACACTATAACATCAGAAAGAGATACCTGAAATTCCTAGGGTACGTAATGAGAAAAGATGGCTTAGAAATTTGACACTCACAGGATATATTAAAGGCAAGCAGGACAGATGAAAGGAGTGAATAACCTACCCAATTAGCTTGTGTAAATGGTTGGCAAAATAGGGATTAGAAGAGATAGTGCTATGGGACCTTACCCATAATAATAATAATGGACTATTTCATACATAATAAATACTGCGCCTCAGGAGTAGGCAAGGAGTCAGTCGTTCAAGTTTTGAACTGACTGTTCGGTTATCTCTCTCTTCCCTACTGGTAAAGAGGAACCGAAGGAGGCTCGCCCGGGGCGGAGTCTCCTTGGGAGAATTGTTAAACCGGCCCTGAACCCGTTTATCCCCAGGTTTCAATGGGCTATTTTTTGGCCGAGTCTAATGGCTTGGGAATTGCCCGTTAAAAGGCCTTGTGCCACATGACACCCTCGTGGGGGGGTGACTAAATATCGTCAGTAGTTCAAGTCTTGACCGGCTGATCGGTTGAACTCTCAGCCTTCGAAGGGCGGAGTCTCTTTCGGGGAGGTAAACCAACCCTGAACCCATTTATACGGGTTCAATGGGCATATTTTTGGCTGAGCCCACGGGCTCAAAAATCCCACAGGCTCGAAGATCCCACGTTAAACCGGCCTTGTGCCACATGACATCCTCATGGGGGGGTGACTGAATATCGTGAGTAGTTCAAGCAAGTCAGTCAGTCGTTCAAGAGGAGTCAGTAGTTTAAGTCGAGTCAGACGCAGTCCGAAACAGAGTCGCGTTCAGACAATTACTGCAAGACATTGGAATAGTGATACTGGTCGAGACTACATTGTTCTCTCTACTAAACCTGAGTGTTCATACTAACTCTTCTACTTCTCTGTATATATTCCTGTTTGTAATATATCTGTGTTATTCCATACCTGTGTTCGAGTTCTTCTTTATTGGTTCTACCTTGGACTATCACCGTGGTACAAGGAACCGGACCATAATATATATATATATATATATATATATATAATATTAGTGGTAAATATACACATACATATGCAAAATATATATATATATATATATATATACATACATAGGTGCATACGCATACATATATATTTTTTTGAATAAAAAATTCCAAGAGGATAGAATCCAGGTAGAACTCAATGTCCAGAACAGAGTAAGGATATAATAAAAAGGCTTAAACACTAATATTCCATGGTCATATTTACGATTCCAATGGAATAAATTATGATCCAATTCATCAGACCTACAAATTCAAAAAAAACAGAAAAAAAACAACTCCGAAATAAAAATAAGATTTAGAGAGTGTAAGTATGAGAGTGTGGGACGAATGTTAGAGCTGAAGAGAGGGGTAACAGACGAGAGAAGGTGGGGGATTAAAATTTAACAGAGACAAGTTTTAGGGAGGGGAGTCAAAGACGGTTTAAGTGAAAGAAATATGAATGTTGTCGGATGTCTAATACATTAAAGATGCAACCAGAAAGGATACATTTTGTGCATGTCACCACAAAATGTATCCTTTCCGAATTTAGAATTGATATATTTATGGATAAAAGTGCTCAATATTAGAGATAGAGGGTATGTAGATATGAAAGTAGATACTGAGGTCAACATCAGAAGAATCGTTGGTGACTAGTAAAATGTAATATATATATATATATATATATATATATATATATATTAAGAAATGGACAATTATTTTAATTTTATGTATAAACATTTTAATTTTAATATATAATATATAAAATATATATATATATATATATATATATATATATATATTATGGGACCTTACTCATAATAACATAATGGACTATTCTATACGTAATAAATACTGCGCCTCAAGAAAAAGCAGGAGCTCAGTCTGAAGTCGGACGACCGGCTGAACTCTCTGGCTGCGGGCAGGTGGAACCCGAATGAGGCTACGCCGAAGAGCGAAGTCTCTTTCGGGGAGGTAAACCGACCCTGAACCTATTTATACAGGTTCAATGGGCATATTTTTGGCTGAGCCAATGGGCTCGGAGATCCCACGTTAAACTGGCCTTGTGCCACATGATGTCTTCGTGGGGGGGGTGACTAAATACCGTTCAGTTCGAAGTCGGGCGATCGGCTGATCGGTTGAACTCTCTGCCTTCGGGCGGGGAGGAACCCGAAAGAGGCTACGCCGAAGGGTGGAGACTCTTTCGGGGAGGTAAATCGACCCTGAACCTGTTTATACGGGTTCAAAGGGCATATTTTTGGCTGAGCCCACAGGCTCGGAGATCCCACGTTAAACCAGCCTTGTGCCACATGATGCCCTCGTGGGGGGGGTGACTAAATACTGTTCAGTCTGAAGTCTGGAGTGAAGTCCGTCAGGAGTCAGTCAGAGGCAGTCTGAAACAGAGTCGCGTTCAGACAATTACTACTAAACCTCATTGTTCGTACTAACACCTTCTACTTCTCTGTATATATTCCTGTTTGTAATATATCTGTTTTATTCCATACCTGTGTTCGAGTTCTTATTTATTGGTTCTACCTTGGACTATCACCGTGGTACTAGGAACTGGACCATAACAGATAGCAAAAAGACAAACATTGCTAAGAGCTACAAAGGAGAGGAAGTTGTGGAGAGCCACATTCACATACGTCCTGAAGAGACATGGCACATAGAATTAAATATTGATTGCAAGAGGGTCAGAAGAAACAGTGCATAACCTACCTAATGAGGAGTAGAAGGGATTGCAAAAAGACAGACTTTATTAAGGGCTACAAAGGACAGGAAGTTGTGGAGAGCCATGTTCGTCCATAATTGAAGCGATACAATACATTGAAGAAGAACAAGTAAATATTCTTTCAGCATTTACTATCTTAGATACTGATTAGAGTGAATGAAATTATTTGATATGTTTGTTTAATAAATCCTACCCATGATATCACAGGTTACATAAACAGCTTTTATGGCATGACACTCTAAAAAGAAAGCAGGTGCATATGTGTGCTTGTTAGATGTTGAGAAGAGGATTACCTACCTCAGCTGATATTGTCCATTCATTGTCAACTGGCTCGTATGTCCAGCCAACCTCACAGTTGGACATGCTGTAGTTCTGACCAGTACTCACGTTGACCATATACAGGAGACATTCATTGTCATGGTTGGCTTCAATCATATAGGCACCACCCGTGCTGCTCCCGCTGCTTATACTACTGCTTCTAGCACTCCCTACGCTGCTGTTGTCCGCTGCCCAGTCATCAGCGACTGACATTTTGCAGCGGTGTGGTACCTGGACGAGGTAAAAGGTATTCACAATGTTGTTAAAGAAGATAGGGAATTCATTTAGTGCCAGCAGAAAAGCCAGCATCAGCTGGAATCGGCCCGAGTCTCCAAGCCGAGAAATAAGGTCATCAATTCTGCCTGCCATTTTGATTTCCAGCTGTTTCCGATGGGATAATCCTTTTTAATCTCTGAAAGAACAAAAAACAAATTGTGAACTTTACAAAAAAAAAAAAATAAAAAAATAAAGAAAATAAAAAATGGCAGAACAATAATCTGGAATATGAATGAGAGAAGAGATGATATATACTTTGAACTGATCATATAGGGTAGATTTACCTTTTGAGAGTTCTGAGGTGATAGTTTTCTTTTCAGCATCACTTAAGCTGCTTTTACGGCACATCTTTTCACTAAATTCTTACACTTTTCTAATAATTTGGCACAGTCAAATCACCGTGCTGATGACAAATATATAAATCAGTCATGTATTTGAATAACCGAGAGATGCAGTATCACTGGCCACCCAAAGCTCAGTCATGTACTTGAATGGCCGAGAGATGCAGTATCATTGGTCACCCAAAGATAAGTCATGTATTTGAATGGCCGAGAGATGCAGTACCATTGGCCACCCAAAGATCAGTCATGTACTTGAATGGCTGAGAGATGCAGTACCATTGGCCAAAGATCAAAGTACTTGAATGGCTGAGAGATGCAATATGCTTGAATGGCTGAGAGATGCAGTACCATTGGCCACCCAAAGATCAGTCAATGGCTGAGATGCAGTACCATTGGCCACCCAAAGATCAGTCATGTACTTGAATGGCTGAGAGATGCAGTACCATTGGCCACCCAAAGATCAGTCATGTATTTGAATGGCTGGGAGATACAGTATCATTGGTCACCCAAAGATCAGTCATGTACTTGAATGGCTGAGAGATGCAGTATCATTGGTATCATTGAATGTCTGAGAGATGCAAACCATCAGTCATGTATTTGAATCAGTCATGCTGAATGGCTGAGATGCAGTATCATTGGTCACCCAAAAGATCAGTCATGTACTTGAATGGCTGAAAGATGCAGATGCAAAGATCAGTCATTGGTCACTTGGTCACTCAAAGATCAGTCATGTACTTGAATGGCTGGGAGATACAGTATCATTGGTCACTGAAAGATCAGTTGCATACTTCAATGGCAACTAAGTGTGATGCAGTGCTATTGTTTGCCTGGAAATCAGTCATATACTCAAATGACAAGTCAGAGACAATACTGTTGATCATTTGAAGATCAATCATGTATATGACAAGCAAGAGATGCAAGAGATCATTGATAGCAAAGGAAATTGTTTCCATTAATCAATTCTGTCTTCTGAATGATCCTCAGTTTTGATGGAAGCTTATTTTCCAAGCAAATGGAATCAAATCTTCCATTGTAATTGTATTTCAAGAGACAATCCAATTATGGACTTTTATACAAGACCAAAAAGAAGCTGAAGAAATTATGTAATAAATATCCTAATCTAAACAAAATCTACAATCGTGGCTGAAAGTAATGAAAATAATCTGGCATAACTTGATTTCAAATAATCAATTCTAATGGAACCAAATGCCCAATAGCCAACAACAATGCCAGGATAAGCGATAAGTCATGTTCAGCTATAAGCAAATTTTCCCATTTGCAGACCGTCCATTTAGAAGTGTCTAATCTGGTCCAACTCGGACTGCCAACTGGAATCCGACCTGAAGCCATCTATTCTAAATGACAAATGTCTTTTGTGAATGCAACTCAAAGGAATGTTTCACAAATTTTACAAGCTTTATGCAAACTTGTTTCATTTGATTGATGCAGAAGGAGAGCTTCAATGACCGAACAGCAATGCTGGTTCAAATAATCAACTAAATTTGTTTGACATAAAATAACTCAAAAAAAAAAAAAAAAAAAAAAAAAATCAATCAGTCATCGAACTGTCTGAAAACAAACAAGAATTTTCTGGTCAATTATCAATCTCAGTCTTTTCCTTCCAAGTGTAACCAGGAATATTACAACAGAAAAGAAAAAAAATGTAACCTAGAAAGGGTTACTGAATAAGGAATAACCAAAACAGAGATTGGAAATGAAATGGTAATCTTTATAACATCAACAAAATACAATACTCGCCAGCAACATAAAGTAGGTAAACCACTGCTAGTGGGGGACTACTTAGCATATTACACCCATTTAAATAGTGTCCAATGTATTTATAATGATTGGGACATACACTTTAGTGTTCATATGTACGTATATAACAAAAATGATGTTATTTTTAGCTTAATTATTATATTTTTTTTACCTGTTTTAATATTAAAAATGGATTTGTGTTTAGTTTGGTTCAATTTATTTTATGGCATATCAACCTCAATGGGTTATTTAATGCTGACAAGATTTTTATTGCTGGTAATATCTTTTGCAAAAATGTAATGCCGGTAATATTTTTCTTTTTCAAAAATGTACTGCTGGTAATAATTTTTTCTGAAAAAGTATTGCTGGTATTAAAAACTATTTTTACACTTTCATAGTGTTTTGACCTTAGTTTCGGGGGGTTAACTATTTGCCCATAGTTAGGACCCTGACAGGTGATACCACCTCAGGTCAGGGTGGACCTGGGAGCACCAGCAATTAAGAGGTGGTTCCATGCTCCTCAAAACCTCCTGATCAAAGGTCTTGCTGTTAGATGTAGTTTATCAACTTACTCAGGATGGTCTGTGTTTAGTGTAGCAGTTATTGGCATGTAAAGTGGAATTGAATCCAAAAAATCAGCCAATCTAGAGGAAAAAAAGACATTGAAAAGGAAGACCACAACAACAAAAGCCTGATCCCCCATCCAGAACCTGTCCTCAATATTGAAAGACGTTTCAGGTAAAAATATGCTTTATTAGCAATCTCAGTTCACAAACTATAGAAACTCCTACAGAAGGTAGTATAGGATAGCAAGAAGAAAGGACTATTGTTAGAAGATAGAAAGTATGGTTGGCAGAAAAAGGAAAAAACCAAGATGTGAACTACAAATGGAAAAATATGAAAAAAAAGTAAATAATAACGGAATTATTTGTTTTGTTTCAATTAATTTGTACAACAGTGTAAAATCTTGTAAATATAAAATTATCCTTGTAAATAAACAATAGCGTTTAACATTTTTGTTGCCAATTCTTGAGAAAAAATATAAATCTAGTTTCATACATTTGGGTTTTATTAAAATTCTAAAAATAAATTCTTAAAATAATAAAAAAAATTATGAAGGGTGTATACAGTATGAGTGAAGTCAAGAGAAAAACCTTCCTTTTGATATATTTTTTTTGCTGGGTACATTTGTTAAACTTTGCCAAAATTGCAATGTATTTCTATAAACAATATATAATTTATAACTTATTTCTACAGTAAGAAAATTCCTACTGAATAAATCAGATTTGAGAGGAATAAAACAAGGATGTGTCTTCTCACCAAACTTATTCAACCTTTACAGTGAGGCAAACCTGAGAAAATAGATGCCAACTTGCCAGGTATCACCATTATTGCCAGGATTCATTATTGGCAGATACAATCTTAACAACATTAGATATGCAAATGGCACAATGCTAGTAGCAAACATAGGAAGGAAACTACAGAAACTCCTACCAAAGGTAGTATAGGATAGCAAGAAGAAAGGACTATTGTTAAAAGATGAATGTATGTTTGTTGGCAAAAGGAACAACCCAAGATGTGAACTATAAATTGGAAATATCAAAATCAAGCAAGCAAAGAAATTTAAATATCTATGAAGTGTTTTGATAGAGGACAGAAAATGTAATATTGAAAGCTGAAGGTGTATTTGGATAGCGAAAGTTGCCTTCTGAAACCTAAGCAAAGTATAAAGAAACAGAAAATTTCATTAGTAAAAAAGAAAAGAGTACTAAACTGTTATGTAATATCAGTCCTCCTATAAGGCAGTGAATGCTGGCCAACCTCCTCACATATGAAGAAGAGACTTGAAGCAACAGAAATGTGGTTCTATAGATGGACACTGAGAATACTATGAACTGAACATTTGAGCAACAACAAAGTTTTAAGGAAAATGGAGACAAGAAGGACAATTAACCTTAGAAAGAGATAACTGAAATTTCTCAGGCATAATGAGGAAAGAGAGCTTAGAAAATTTGACACTCACAGGACATATTAAAGGCAAGGGGCACTGCGGAAAACAATGAACAACCAACCTAATGAGCTTTTGTAAATGGTTGACAGAATAGGGATTAGAAGAGATAGCAAAAAAAAACATTGCTAAGAGCAAAAAGGAGAGGAAATTGTGGAGAGCCATGTTTTGAAGAGACATGGCACATAGAAGAAGAAGAATATATAATGGAAGTTCTTTGAGGCATTTTTATTTTGGTTTCTCCATTTTGATTTGTTTGTTTGACATGAGGAATAAAGTTGGACAAATATTGTCTAAATTCTAAGCACTTTCAGCTTTCATAAGCCATTTTCAAAGAAAGATTGTTTGTTTTGTTAGAGCTATGTTTAGAGTTTTAAAATTTATTTACGCATTGCTTTACTTTCAAATGTCACGTTGTCATGTCATAGTTTATGGTGTATCCTGATGTCAAGCACCTTGTCAGAAGGGAGGGAAAAATTAATAATACCTAACAAATAACTTTCACTGATCTTTATAAAACTTGTGTATATGTGTGTGTATATATATATATATATATATGTGTGTGTGTGTGTGTGTAGCGGGTGTAGCAGCAAAATTGTTAGATTAAGCTTTGAACCATTGTATCTTAGAAATGATTAAAGATATCTTACTGAAATTCTCTAAGGTTTTTATAATACTATTGGACTCTACTTTGAACAATAAGAATGTATTTAGCTCTAAGTTGAAATGATGATCCCTCTTCTGTTTTGACCTCCTGATCCAGTTTTCCTTTTTAAACTTATTCACCATTCTCGTGATGATTTTTGAAGAAGGAATCCAGAGTATGAATGTTGGTACCATTACTGAAG